GGACAGGTAAAACGTGTTTCCTTTTGGCTCTCCGTGTGTTCGAGAAAAGTACCCAATGTTGGGTTTTGGCATTTTGTTAAAACTTGATTTTTTACAGTGGAATGAGACAGATCTAAAAGTGATGTTGATTTGATTTTGACTGGACTTTATAGGACTTTTTAGCATATAACTATCTTAGTCGAAATTTTGAAGTCATCAGAGAAATCTTAAGCTGTACAGCTTGTAAACTCTTCTTCAAACTTTGATGCACATTGACTTTTTTCCCCTTTCAATGAAACAAGACTGTGTCTGGCTGGCACGACTTAGAATTGAATGAAATAAGATATATTTTTAAGAGGTGTATAAAATTTCCAAGTCCTCTTGCTCTTTTATTTGTACTCACATTATGCTGCATTCTTCTATCTTTGCACACAAAGCATGTGATTCATTTTCGTCCTGAGAAGAAAAATAAACTCTTCTCATATGCAACCATTCTTTTCAATGCAAAATACGTCTTAATCTACTAGGTTTCAAGTCTTTGGAGACCATCTCAACAGATATGCTTCCGCCAAACTCCTTATTTAGACTATTAATGTAATTATTTTTTTGCTTTATTTAAACAATTCTGTTTTGGAAAAGAAAAAAAAAAGAATGTTAATAGGCATATGCAATTGGTTCTGATGTATTTTATAATTGGTTAGTGTGGGACTATTTCTGTATCACAAGACAATTAGGTTTCTTGCTGAGGTTCAAATTTATAGCCTTCCATTTTTTTCCAATTTCTGTATATTTATTTATTTTTGTTTTTTTATTTCTTCTATATATTTCTAAAACTTGGCTCTCTCTTTTTTTTTTTTTTCCTTTTTGTGTTTTAGTTTGTCTGCCATGGATGAACATGAATATTAATGGGAGGATTTTTTTTTTTTTTCTGGGATTTGGAAGAGAAGCTAACGTGAAATTAGTTTTTATATTTGTATGAAAATACAAAATTTAAAGTTATGTTACCACTGTTTTGGGATTGCAATAGATAAAAGTGGGTGTTGTGTGCTGCAGCAATGTGTTAACTATTAACCATGCTGAAGGAGCAATAAAAGATCGCCCCATGTCTGAGATTGCACATGTTTCTAAAGCTAGCACAAGATTGTTATGGGTTTGTCTTGACCGGACCTTGAAATTTTCTCATTTGACATTGATGCATTTGGTATATCTAGGTTTATTTATAGTAGTTTAGTGTTTCCAATTCGTATATTTAAGTTTTGTGTTTTTGTTTCTCTTTTATTGATCTTATTTGTATAGAAGTAGATAGATCTAGGATGATCTTACATTTTTTGCGTAAGTGTTGCCAATGCGCCGGAAGAGGAATCTCCTATATGCAATAAGTTCCAATAAATGTATTATGCCCCTTTGGTCCTTTAACAATGGATGCACCTGAAGTTGTAACAGTGCATCTCTCCATGGTCCATACTACATGTCTACTACCATTTTTTGCTTTGTATGTTCATTTCCCTCTTTCACTTATTTCATTCCAATGAGTATTAGCTATTTTTACCTCTCGAACATTAGGACTTGAACTCCACTTCGGTGGAGAAATGACGACTGTCTTTTGGAGATCTTTGCAAATTTAGGTGCAGTAAATAGCACAATTGATGTCAAAGTTGATACTGAATCTAAGGTAACTTGCTTTGATTTCATTAACTTTGAAATCTAAAATCTTTTTTTTTTTCTGAGTTCGCTTGATGGTAACGACTTTCCTTGACAGGTTTTGATGATAGTCACAATACCATATATGTGCATTCTACAAAACCATAGCTTTAATATAACTAATTGATTACAGCTTAAGCAAGGTACTGTTATATTATTGAGATGCTAATTTTGACTGAGATATCATAATCTTTGATAAATTATAACTGTGCCTTTAATTGCAGTTGGAAGTTCAGTATCTTCATGATCATGTGGCTTTTACAACTGCTGTTAGTCTAAACCAGCCCCCTGCCATTGATTTTTTTTTTTGCAGCAATTGGAACAAAGCCTAATTCCAATGCTTCAGTAATTTTGTATGTACTTGACATGCTTTAATGATTGATTGTTCAATTTAGTTGAATAAATGAGCTGACGCCTTCCATATAGTTGTTGCAAGAGTTTTAAGAATTATTACTTACATTGATTATTAAACATCTATATCCCATACAATTATTTGGGGCATGAATCAGCACAATATTAAAGGATGGAATATTGTGTTATTACTTGGGGATATAATTAGTGCCTTCACATTTTCAATCTTGACAAAGGAGACTCCTTGAAAGCATCGTACTTGCATCATCTTGATCATTTAAATGACTCCCAAGTTTGGTTTAGCACTGGCCCTCAAGCCTTGAAACAGTTATACAGATTTATAAATAGGTATAATACTTGAGCCTTATTCTCACATCTCTCTTCAATTGGGTACAATGTAGATATAGCTTCTTTCTATCATTGTCAATTGATTGATTCAAGATTGAGACTAGAAAAATTTATATTTAATACATTGTGATAGACTTGTACTACTCTATACCAATAGAAGGTTCGAGCTACTAGTAGTTTTATATATATATATATATATATATATATATATATTATATATATAGTTACTTCCTTTTTTGTGCGGCTTCCTGTCTTCAAGTTTGTGATTTTTGAGATTGAAAAATGTTATGTTAGTATGCATGCCATAGGCTTTCCTTTCTAAAGAAATGAAAAAAATTGAAATTGATGAGCAACATTTACCCATTCCATTCATATAATTTCCTCATGTGTCCACTGTCTCCTCTTTTGGGTTGCATGAACTATTATATCAATATATGGATAGGTTATTTTCATAGAGGAGGTTCCCTGGTTTTATCACAATGCTGCTTACGAAGGTTATCATCTTCCCTTTTTTGCTAACTAATACATGTTAAAGAAGTATTACTTCCTAAGTATAAAAAAGAAGCAGCATTACTTCCTTCCCACTACTTGTTGATGCTGATGCCGATGTTGGTGGTTAAAAAGTTCTATTCTTTTTGTTTATTAGTATATTTTATATTCCATTAATTACTTTATGACATTATGTACAGAATTATATATCATATTCCGTATTTTTGAATAGTCAGAGTTACATATTTTTGACACTTTATTGATATTATTATCTTATATTCTTACAGACAATAAAATAGCAAATATATGAATGTGACAAAAAGGTGCACAGAGCCCCATGAATACATTACTATATATAAGGATTAAATAGAAACCCTAATACATCAGATGTAAACACATGTTACATCATAAAGAATAAATAATTACAATTACAAATATACAAGATAAATATATGTTATGAACATATTGAGCTATAAGCAATTAGGGCTTTATTATTGTTGCGCTTACATAAAACTGAATTGGGCTCTATTATCTTGACATCCCCACTCAAATGAGAAATGGGTGCTTTGCAAAGTCTGAGTTTGTTTCTAAGACTAAGAAATTGAGAGTGAGTCATCACTTTGGTGAAAATGTCAGCTATATTTTCAGCAGAAGGCATGTAATGGAAATCAGATTTTGATTTATCAATTTATCACAAATATAATGCACATCGAGCTCTGTGTTTAGTTCGAGCGTGATAAATGAAGTTTGACGCTAATGTAGCAATACTTAAATTATCACACCAAGGCAGAGGAATCTATTCAATCTTCAATCCAACTTCAAAAAGCAGAGATGGGAGACACTCAATTTCAGTCACCAGGTCTGTAAGGGATCTATACTCAGATTCTGTGCTTGATTGAGCAACAACTCTCTGCTTTTTGTTAGACTAAGCAATCAAGGAGTCACCAAAGAATACACAGTGGCCTCCAAATGATTTTTTATCATCGACACACACAGCCCGATCCACATATGAAAACCCTTGTAGATTGAGGTATGTGCTTAGTCTGATATGAAGAGCTAAATCAGAGGATCCCTTTAAGTAATTAGCAATCTTTTAACTGCTTGCCAATACTTATCTGTTGGTTGTTGAAGAAATTGACTGAGCTTGTTAATTGAGAACATGATATCCAGTCTAGTATTAACCAAATATTGTAAAGCCCCAATAATCTGTCTAATAAAGTAGGATTAGATAAGGGTATCCTATCATGAATGGACATATTTTTATTGACAAGCATGAGTGTGGGTACAGCTGAACATTGCTCCATGCTACATCTTCTGAGAATCTCAAATTATACTTTTCCTATTTGACATAAACCCTAGTAGTATCTCTAAAAGCCTCTGCTTCAAGAAAGTGATGTAAATTGCCTAGATCTTTGAGAGGGAACAAAGCATTTAACTCTTTGATAAACAAGGTCAGCATATTCAAATTGGTCCCAGTAATGATAATATCATCCACATGAACTAAGCAAAACATGATATTAGTATTTGCTTGTAGAAAGAATAATGAACTATCACATTTGGAGTGAACAAATTTCCAGCTCATCAGAGTATTCTTCTGCCTGTCAAACCCAGCCCTAGGGCCTTGTTTCAAACCATAAATTGCTTTGTTTAGCAAGCAAATATGATTAGGATATCTTTTATCAAGGAATCTTTCAGGTTGCTCATGAGTACCTTTTCTTGTAGGTAGCCATTCAAGAAAGCATTATTAATGTTAATTTGTCTAATCTACCACTAAAAGCTAACAGTAGAAGGCTTAGAGTAGAAGGCTTCAAAACAGGACTAAATGTCTCATCATAATCAACGCCTTGATATTATTGAAATCCCTTAGCCACTAATCATGCTTTAGGTTTAAGAAACTTTCCATCTACACCAAATTTGCTCTTAAAAACCCATTTGCAATCAACTGGTCTCTCTTTTCCTGCAGCAAGAACTAAGACCCAGGTTTGATTTTTAATAAGAGTATTGAACTCTTCAATCACAGCCTTTCTCCATATATTAGACTTTAAAGCTTCTTGAAAACTTTTAGGTTCCACAACACAATTTTCTTCAGATGTAATCAAACCAACATAAGGGATTTTAGGTTTGAAAATACCTGATTTACTTCTTGTTGTCATTTAGTATTGATTTTGCATATTATTGTTATGCCTTACTACTGGATCAAAATTCTGTTGTATTGATAATGCTCTATCAATCATAGAAGAGTGAGAATTATGATCAATGACTAGTTCTGCATGAATATTTTCTAGTGCAGCATCTGAATCAGATGGATGTAGACTAATTTTAGTATCATTTGTTGCAGAATCACAATATGCAGAATGAATTCTTACTGGAGAAACATAGGAGGCAGAATTTTGAGCTGTGCTTGTGCTTAAGAATTGAGTTAATGGAAAAGCTAGAGAAGCCTTAAAGAACTCCTGTGGATGAATTTGATCATCAAGTATTGCCTTCTTATTACTGAAGCCATCTGTAAATGGAAATGATAATTCATTAAATTAAACATTTTGAGAAATATATATTCGTCTAATTAAGCTTAGGCATCGATATTTGTAACATCCTGAATTTCAATCCCAAGAACTAGTTGCTAATCAAGGATAAATTAGTAATTAGGGAATTGATTGTGGTTTGGATATTTAGTTGATGTTTAATGTTGTTTGGATGTTGCATTGATAGGATTGAAGGCTAAAGAGACAATCCAAGATAGAACACGTGAGCACAAGTGAGAATTTTCTCACTGTGCCACGCACCACAGTAGAAACTGCGTGTGTCGCAGCACACTGTCCAAAAATCACTTAAAGCTGACATGAACAACTCGTGAAATCAAAAGGGAGAAAGCTAGAGAACATCTGAAGGGAGAAAAGAAGCCATCTCTACTAGGGCAAGTAATAATTAGAGCTCGAGAGTCTCCTTCGATTAGTAACTTGCTAGGTAAGTATCGTGCAATCCTAAGCTTCAATTCTACCCCTTTTTCATTGAATTTCATTAAACTATTTTATGCCTTAAGGGATTTAGTTTAGCCAAATCAATGCTTGTAAAAATATGTTGAAAATTAACTAAGGGGCATGGTGTTATGTAGATTGAGCACCTATAAAATTGCACGTGAGAATTTGCACACCTAGAAGCTTAGTGTGATTGGTTACCCTTAGTGGCAAGCGTTAAAGGTAATTGGAGTAAGTCTTTTACTTATTTATTTGTGAAATTATTTGCAACTATTTTAATATAACTACGTGCATTGTATTGTGAACTAATAGAGTAGCAACATTGTGAAAGTATATGCATGCGGTGTATGAGTACTGATTAAAATGAATTTGAGAAGTGACACATGCATTGACATGTATCACATTCGTGTGGTATGCCCTGGATTATGGTAGGGAGAAATGCGGCCCTACTGTGAGAAAGTCTAAGAAGTCTTGATGATCCAGAGTGTAGAGCTTGACTCTGCTATTTAGGAAGTCAAGGCTTGAGGTTGAAGATAGAGTAGAAAATAAGCAACGACCTAAGATACAGTTTAGTATGCCAACAACCTCCCATGCTTCAAGGAGTAGGCGAGTGACCATAGGAAAGTTAAGGAGATTCCCATAGACTAAGTTTGGAGAACTTTTTCGAGGTTGAATCTACCAACTTTTAATGGTAGTATGAGAAAGGGAGTTACCGAGAACTAGATAGAGAGGATAGAGACAATTTTTTAAGTTACTCCATATTCCTCTAAGTAGAAAGTAGCGTTAGCCATGGTGCAGCTAATTAAGGATGCCAAACATTAGTGGCATTCAACAAGACCCTCTAATAGTAGTCATCTCAGCTGGGAGCAATTCAAAGAGAGATTCTTTGACTATTACTTCCCTGCGGCATTCAGAGATGAGAAAGAAGCTAATTTTATGCTTTTCAGCAGGGAGACTTAGATAAGGAGTCATTTATGAGAAAGTTCAACTAGCTTTTCAAGTTTGTGACTTACTTAAATAAGAAAGATGATAACAAATAGAGAGCCAAGAGGTTGATTGAAAACATGAACCCAAAGTACAGAAGGCAGACAACCTTACTAGGAGAAGCTACATATGAGGAGACTTGTAACTAGCTTTCAATAGCTGGGAGGCAAGGTCGACAGGCAAATGTTGAGAAAAGAAGAGATAACTATGGGCAATTTTTCACTCTATTAGGTCTAACTGAAGGGGTGTCAAGGAGAGGCAGTTTTAGTGTCAGTGGTTTTGGATCCTTGGGTAAGAGGATGTTCAGTAGAGGATCACAGTCTCAAGAAGTGATTGGCTAGGGTAAGAGGTTTAATGGGGCTAGAGATTTTAAGGCTCCACAATAGTCGAGTCAGACTGCTACTGCCCCTATATCTCGTGTGAGCACTGCACGCTCACTTGTGTGTGCAACTTATGGGCAAAGTCATTCTAGAAGGTATTGGGCATGCTACATTTATAGTCGCATGGGCCATTTTGTGAGGGATTGCCCCAAGAATTGAGGGGGAGCTTCTGAGTAATGGCTAGTAATGCTAAGACGAGTCTACACTGTTTCCTCAGAGGAGGCTCAAACAACACCGAATTTGATTATAGGTATAATTTCTATTTGCGAGCAAAGAGTTAAGGCTCTTTTTGACTCAGGAACTACTCATTCATTTGTGTCGTGTGACTATGTAAAGAAGTTAAATTTGCTTGTGCATGAGCTACTTTATGTTGTTAAAGTGTCTACGCCCTCTCGATTACTAGATAAGATCAGTAAGGTGTGTAGGAAAATTGAGTTATGCTTTAAGGGCAGAACTTCTATGATAGATCTGATCTTGATTCCTGTGTAAGGATCAAATGTTATCATTGAGATGGACTAGTTGGTAGGGAATAATGCTACCTTTAATTGTGCCAAGAAGATGGTGTTACTACCAGTTTATGTGATGCCTATTGTGGTTTCTACAATAAAGAGATTATTAGAAGAAGCTTATTGGAGCAGATATACGATGCATCCTGGTGTGACCAAGATGTACCATGATATGAAGAAGTATTGGTGGTGGCCAGGTATGAAACGAGATGTTATCGAGTTTGTGAGTTGGTGTTTCACGCGTTAAAGAGTGAAGATCGAGCATCAGAGACTGGCTAGAATGCTACAACCTCTAGATATTCTCCAGTAGAAGTAGGATAGTATTTCAATGGACTTTGTTTTTGGTCTATCAAGAACTCAAGCAAGATTTGACTTTGTATGAGTTGTTATAGATTAATTGACAAAGTCAACACATCTTTTGCTAGTTAAGACCACCTATGACATGAAAAAGTATGCAGAGGTATATGTAAAAGAGGTGGTAAGATTGCATGGTGTACCTAAAGACATAGCATCAGTTAGAGATCCCCATTTTACTTCAAGGTTCTAGGGAGCACTACAAAAGGAAATGGCTACCGTGTTGAGGTTTAATATCTCTTATCATCCACAAACTAATAGACAGACTGAGAGCACAATACAGACTTTGGAGGATATGTTGCAATCATGTACCCTTTAGTGGAAAGGCAACTAGGATAGCCATTTGCCTTTGGCTGAGGTTGCTTACAATAAAAACTTTCACTTGAGTATTTAGATGGCATTGTATGAGGCATTATACGGGAGAATGTATAGATCACCCTTGTGTTGGGTTGAATTGAGTGACAAAAGTGTAATTGGTCCTAATATTGTAGATCAGACCACTAAGAAGATTAGAGTTATACGGTAGAAACTTCTTACTTGGTAAGCATCGCACAATCCCAAGCTTCAATTTTACCCCCTTTTCATTGAATTTCATCAGTTTAGAAATCAAATCATGAAATTCTGAGGTGTTGTAATCTGAAAGAAGTGTTAGAAACGGGATATCGAATACAGAACTAAATTTTTTTGACTAGTATGGAGTTAAATGATTAAGCTTTGAGCATGTAGGCTCAAAATGGCCTAAAAGTTAGGTTAAAAGGAGAAATTTAGGTGAATGAATGTGTTAGGAGGTTGTTATGATTGTTTAAGTAGCCTATAGGGTTAATGACTATGAATAATGGATGGTGGACACTGTTCCTTAGGACTGGAGGGCCTGGTTCGAGTGTAGGGTTTACTCTACTGAGGTAAACCAAGACTGCATTGCATGAACATAATGAGATTGATGAGAATGAATTTCTATATATACATATGTTACTGCTTTATGACTATACATGCTACTTTATCACTTGTTTATGATTTTGCTTACTAACTGGTAATTAGGGTTACTTCTGAGTTACTGGGATGTATGCCTCACTCTATTACTTTTGAACACAGGTGAAGAGAGCATGAGAAGGCCGGGAAAGGAAGTGAAGAGAGAGTAGCCTCAATTGGTAGTGGTATGACTATTATGTTTAAAGTTATTTATTGAGTTAAGTTGCCAATTAGGATGCATAATTATATATGAATACGACAAAGTGAGTGATGTAAAACACACACACTCACATTGATTTGAACAGAATAGGATGAGGAAAAGAAACAGAATCAAGAGTGAGAGGTGAAGGGGGAGGGAAAACAGAGGGGAGAGATGACAGAAAACAGAGAAAGCAAGGGAAGTGGAGAGGGACGCAGAACTGATAGATAGGGGAATAGAACAGCAATTCATTCCAACTCTCAGAACTCCCTTACATGTGCTGCATGGTGGCTTTTTATAGAAGCCACAATTAAGGTTTCCTTCTTATGAAGGAAACATAAAATGAAATAAAATATAAGTTTGAGGTTTCCTTCCCTATAAGGAAAGCTCAACTTGCAATTTAAATAAAGAGTAAAACAAACAAAAGCAGGTCAGGTTTCCTTCCTTTAGAAGGAAACTTACAAAATACTAAATAATGCAAAAACAATTATTTCTTTCTAAAATAACATTTGCCATATTTTCTATCAATTCTCCCCTGCTGCAAAGAACTCTCCTCCGGAGAGGTAGAGAGTTGATAGGCTTCTAGCAAGGCAGGATTAAGTTGTTGGAATTCATCTTCTGAAATCCAGGTGGCATCTTCATCAGATCGACCTCTCCAACGAACCAAATAACGACGGATGGGCCCCTCAGAGGTAAAGACCATTTGATCATCCATAATGGTCTCGATTTCATCAACTGATGGTGAGACAGCAGGCAATGATGGAATTGGCACTTGTGAAGGTTGAGTACCTGCAAAATCATCAGAAAGCAAAGGGGAAGGCTCAAAAGTTCCCCGGTAAGGCATAAGATCCTCTACATTAAAAACTGGACTAATGGCCATATCAGAAGGTAGTTCTAAAAGATAAACATTAGGTCCTAATTTCTTTATTATGCGAAAAGGTCCCGCAGCTCGAGCATGCAACTTTTTAAAAGCTTGTTTAGGGTAACGTTCTGGACGAATGCGAGCCATAACATAATCACCTATTTCGAAGCTTTGAAATCGACGATGAGTATTAGCAGATAATTTATATTGATCATTACTTGTCGCTAATTTGCGCCTAATTTCAGCATGTAAGTCATGAAGGCGATTGGCAAAG